ATTTACTTATTTATTTATTCTTTTAGAGAGAAACAGAGAGCGCATGCGCGCATGCTCAGAAGCAAGTGGGGGAGGGGCAAGGGAGGGAGGGAGAAGAACAAGCAGACTTCACGCTGAGCCCCAAGCCTGAAGACCTTGAGATCATGACCTGAGCCGAAATCAAGAGTCAGATGCTTAACCCACTGAGCCACCCAGGTGCCCCAGAAAAAGCATCTTTTGAATCACTGCAGATTGGGCCTGTTTGGTTAGCTTCTTTTCTTACCATGTACTAGGTAGGCACTGTTTGAAGCTGAACAAATATTAACTCATTCTGACCCTACAACAACCCTCTGAAGTAGAGAACACTCTCTCATTTTACAGGAGAGAAAACTGAGGCACAGAAAGGTTAAGTAACTTTTCCAGGACTACACAGCTAGTAAGCAGCTACTAGTATTCTTAACCACTAGACCATACTGTCTCTACACAATGGGAGAAAACTTACCACCATAAATGGAATACATTAATTCTTTTAGAAGTTATATCTTTGCAGGATAGAGCAATGAGATCTAGTGCCTAAAGTAACTTTTTAATTGATATGTACCACTCCCAAGCTCAACCTCTCACGGACACTCCTGCCCTATGCTGACCTTCGACCATCCAGCTGTCTACAGAATTAAGCCCAACCCTCCTAGTACAGTGTTCTCAGTTTCCCCTGACACTGTCCTACACACTGCATGCTCTCTCTGAAGCAGGCCACCTGCCATGCCCTCAACACACCGCTTTCCCTGCTGCTGCCTTGAATGTCTTTCTCTCTGCATTTTCCCAAATCCTCTACAATTCACTGACCATGAGTCTGTGGAAACTTCTTACCTCCCCAGAGCAGAAATAACTTCTCTCTCCTCTTTATTCCCACCAGACCTTGTCCCTGGACCACAAACTTGCCTCATTCTGCCTCCGAGTTTTGCACAAATGTTTAATATCCTCTATTAAAGTCTTCGTTTCTGGAGGCCAGGTACCTTAGCACACAGCAATAACGCCTGCCAGAGTAGGACCTCAATAAATGTCTCATTGAATCAACCCAGTTTCTATTTTTAAATGTCAACTTTTTGATTGACTCATTTACTACTTGCTTCTGAGTGGCATTATCTGACTATACATCTATTCTTCCAATATTACCAATGAGACTTCACTTTGTCCTCGTATTTTATATAGGGCTTTATTTATTATGGCTAACAGATCAATAACACGTGGTTAGATTCCTAGGTCAGGGCTCCTCCTCCTTGTCTGTCTGACTGAGATGCTAAATGTGTCTCTATCTCTGAAATAGTGGAAGACCTGGGTTAGAACCGCTCTGTCTCTATTGGCTTGTCACCTTGGGCTGGTGACACAAACCTTCTGGGCTTCTCTCAGGGCATTTGTGAGGACTGCTGAGGTCAGGAATAGAAATGCCTGATAGAAACAATATTGAGTGTTAACAGAGGGCGGGAACTCTGTGTGTTATGTGTAGAATATATTTAATCTTCACAACAGACTTAGGTCACTACTCATTCCCATTTTAAAGTTTGGAAAACTGAGGCACAGAGAAGCTAACTAGCATATCTAATGCTATAGAGGAGGTGAGGAGGAGACCTAGCGTTTGGACGCAGGACAATTAACCCTAAAACTAAACATTCTCTCTCTTTAGACAGTCGAAGGAGGAGATATATATAAAAGATTTACCCGAGACCACTGGTGTCTTTCATTTACTCGAAAAGAGTCTTCAAAAAGAAAACAATTCAGCCAATATTGAGTACCGAATATATTCAAGGCTTGAGCAGGATTCATGAGCAAAGCCAGTTCAAACCCTGATGTGAATATTGAGTTCCTTGTTTCTGACTTAAGAATCCCTTTCAACACAGTTTTCACCACAAGGAAAGCCTAATTCCTACACGAATGACCAAGCTTCACTACTTACTGCTGCAGACGACACTGTGAGCGCTGGGCCTTACAGCTCATCAGGGCGGACACCTGTGGCCTGCGGCACCCGAACTCACACTCTTCAGGCACGTCATGGCTCCTCACTGCACTCTCAAAAACCCCCATGTGACACCTTTATGAGTCCTAAAAATGAGTGACTGGCCCTAGGATATAAATGATTGGAGATGCTAGGTCCTTTTAAAAGCCATCCACACACAGAGAGTGAATTCCAGCATTGCTAACTGAATCCTGGCAATTGTTTATGATCCCACCAATAGAAAGTATGGACCTCTCAAAGAGGGTGCTAGGGTATTGAAGCGACCATGAGCTGTAGAAACAATGCTGGTAGCGACTAAATAATTACTTCTGACTACCAAGGCTATCTTTGCTTGTACCAATTAAAAGCTGGGAAATGTTTTTGCTTTTGGTTTCCCCATAACTAAATCTGTGACTTTGGTAGAGACCTGTGATTCTCCAGCAGGGGTAAGTATACCCCCCGGGTGGGCTTACCCCCCCCCCCCCATGTCACCACTGGGGAAAGGGTTGAGACTGACAAGTGGGTAGAGGCCAGGGATGTCACTAAACATCTGACAATGCACAGATTAGCACTACAACAAAGAATTATTCAGTTCAAGATGTTAATAGTGCTGAGGCTGAGAAACTCCGCTTTAGCCCCATGCTCCATTTCTCCATTCTTCCATCCAATACTGAGAATCCATAATCGAGTGAAAATTCAAAACCTTCAATTGTTTTGCCCAGCGCAGACATGTGGACTTTCAGAACTCTTTTTCCATCCCCTTTTGGCATGGAAGCTGCATATGTCCTAGGAACTGGGTGGATGGGAAGGACAAGACATAAATACACGCTAGCTCTCCTATTTTTGTGCTTTTTTCCCCATGCCCTGTTTTTAAATGTTCCTACATCAGCTTTATGTCTCTTCTCAGTAAGGGCCAATCAAGGCTTAAGTAGAAAAGGGGCGCCTGGGTGGCTCAGTCAGTTGAGCATCTGTCTTTGGCTCAGGGTATGATTCCAGGGTCCTGGGGTGAACCTGAGTTGGGCTCCCTGCTCAGTGGGGAGTCTGCTTCTCCCTCTGCCTCTCCCCCTGCTCGTTCTCGTTCTCTCTTAAATAAATAAAATCTTAAGAAAATAAGAAATAAAAAATTTTAAAAGGGCTTAATTAGAAGAACTCGGTTTAAAACTGCAATAAAATGCATGATTCCAGGCTATTCACAATCATACAGCTCAAGGAAAGAAAGAGAAGGACAGGCAGCCAGTTCCTTCACTGAGAGGCTGGTATGCATAACTTTGTAATATTCCAAGGCCAGATGAGGGCCTTCTCCTGATGTCCATCACCTTGCCCTCTGCTCATCACAGCCCCTATCACAAAATGACATACTTTAAGAAGAAAGAGTATTACCCCAAATCATATTTATAAAATTTGAAACTAGGAAATGGAAAGCTAAAGGGGTCTCTAATGAGTTTTCCTAAGATCCCTCACACTTAAGACATCTATCACATTCACTAGTCACTGACAATAAAAAGTAAATTTACTTTCAAATGTCATAGAAACTTACTAGTTGTTTATGACAATTCCTGCATTGGTGGCTTCTCCGTTTCTTTCTGTCCTTTTCCTTCAGCTGCTTTCCCGTTCATTCATCCTTTCCACAAACATTCTCTGGAGCATCTTACTGCCTTCTGCAGAGAACCCGGAGAAAAAGTGGAAACATTCCCGTCTCATGGGAACCCAGAGAACCATCCTCTTTCTCTCCCTTGCTGTGGTTCTCTCTTCATGGGGGAACGTCCAACCTGGAGAAAAACAAGGGAACAGAACTTTGTGGTTAGGAATATCTGAACAGCACCTTTTGGATGGTCCCCCAAAACCACTAGTCCTGTATTCTACTGGGTGTTCCTTCAAGAAGTGCTGCTTCTTGCTAACCTGCCCAGTGGGGCTTCCATTAGTTTTCATAAATCAGGAAGATCTGTCCTAGGTTACTCACGGAATTTTTGGCTCTCTACATTTGCGTATTAAAAGTTTAAGTGGAGGAAGGTGGTGAATGGTGCCAGGGGCTAGTTTAAGCCGGACTTTGAAATGGCGTGAACCTGTCTGACGATAACATTTCCCCCTGCTGCCTCTGTAAACGCCTGCGCACCAACGAAATAGCTACCTCCTCCCTTGTGGTCAGCGCCAGAAAATCAGCCAGACCTGGCTAGGAGTCTGTGTCTTCGTGCCTCCTTAAATCTCAGCAGGAAATATTTCAAGGGGAAAGAAAGATACTGTTTAGCTCCAAAATTTCCTCCAGATGGTGAAATGAAAATGCCAGCCCTCCGCTTCCAGCCTGTGAATGAATGCCGCAGGGTTACCTGGGCTTTGCTAACGCAAGTGGAAAGTGTAAATGGCTGGGTGATCACTGGCTTTCGCCCTTGGACGGAGAAATGAGATCACGATTTTCACGAAGGACAGGAACCCGCGCTGCTCATCAGCTGCCCAGGCTGCCGCTGCCCCTCCCTGCGCGGGTCCCGCATTACATCACCGGTGAGCTCTTGCTGGTGGGGGGAGAGGAGGCTCCGCCAGGGACTCAGCCCCAGACCAAGGGCAGTAAGCGCGGAATAACAAGGATAAAGGGAAGTAGGGCGAGGGAGAGGAACAAGGAAAAAGCAGGACCAGGATTCCGACCACCAGCCCCTGCCTGTTTGCCGGGAAGGGGGAGGGTGTGTGCGCAAGGGCTCCACATCCTTAAGCAGCCGCACCCCAAATTTCGTTCCCGCACCGCCCCCCAACATCCCTCCACTTCCAGTTCCAAGTCCAACAAAAACCGACATCCAAAGGGGCCAGTACAGTGGCCTTGAGAGGCTCAAGGGGGACCGCAGAGAAACGCCAGGGGACTGGGAGGGACCCAGGCGCCCGCGCCTTGGGGCAGCGGCGGGGGGGTGGGGGTGGGGGTGGGGGCGGGGGGAGGCGGTCGACGCTGCGCCCCCGCCCGGCCCAGCTAGCGGTGCCTCCCCCGCCAGGCGACAGCAGCCCGAGGGGGGGAGGCAGAAGCGCCTCCTCCCCGGCGGGAGCCGAGGCGGCGACCGAGGGGGAGGAAGGCGCCTCACCTTGCCCCCGATGAGGGGCGGATCATGCCATGGCAGCGCCGGCGAGCGACAGCGGCGGCGGCGAGCGGAGCCCAAGCAGCAGCCCCGGGAGCTCGACAGGAGCCGGGGTCCCCGCGGCGGGAGCCCGGGACAGCGGGGACGCGGGAGCTCGGAGCGCCGCGGTGACGGTCCCCGGCCTCCCTCCGCTCGAGGACTACGAATGCAAAATCTGTTACAACTACTTCGACGCGGACCGGCGCGCGCCCAAGCTGCTGGCGTGCCTGCACACCTTCTGCCAGGAGTGCCTGAGCCAGCTGCAGCTCCGCGCCGCCGCCGCCGCCGCCGCCGCCAGCGCCGCGCCTGAGCGCCCGCTGCGCCCGCAGCCCTGGCACGGCCCGCTCGGCACCATCGCGTGCCCCGTGTGCCGCCACCGCACGCCGCTGCCCGACAGCCGCGTGCACGGCCTGCCCAACAACACCAAGCTCGCCGAGGCCTTCCCGCTGGCCCTGCGCGCCGCGCACGACCCGCTGCCCCAGGACCGCCTCCCGCCGCTGCCGGCGCGCCGCTCCGCGCCCGCCGCCGCCCCGCCGCCCTCCCCGGCTCCGGCCCCGCGGCCGCCGCCCGCCGAGGACGCCGCCCGCGGGTCCCGCGCCCGCGCCGGCCTGCGCGCCCCGGGCGCCTACGAGAGCTGCCAGAACTGCAAGCGCGCCGCGCTCACCGCCGGCTGCGTGTGCGTCGTCTTCTCCTTCCTCTCCATGGTGGTGCTGCTCTTCACCGGCCTCATCTTCGTCAACCACTACGGCGGCGGCGGCGGCGGACCTCCCGGCGGCGGGGCGCCCCCTGGCGCTGCCCCGGCAACCGGGTCGCCCTCGCCTTCGCCCGTGGGGCCCATCTGCCTGTCGGTGGCCAGCATCCTGGCGCTCTTCTCGGTCGTCGTCACTTGGGTCATCTGCTGGCTCAAGTACCGGCCCGAGGGTGCGGCCGCGAGCTCCGCTGGGGGCGGCGGGGGTGGCCCGAGGGCGCGGGCGGCGGCCGGCGGCGGCACGCGGAGGAGCGACACGTAGCGCGGCCGCAAGCCGGGCCTCCGCCAGCACCTCCAGCCCCGCGCCGCCGGGGAGGAGGGGGTCTCCGGCTCCGCGGGCTCGAGCTTCGCCCTCTCCGTGCGGCCCCCGGACGCCCGGCCACCGCCGGGCCGGGGTGTTGCGCTCTCCGGCCTCCCACGCCCCGCCTGCCCCGCCTGCCCCGCGCGGGGTCGGAGAGGGAAACCGAGGAGCCGGGGATGCTGCTGGGGAGTCCCGTCTGCACAGACTGTGCAAGGTCAACCGCCGCTTCACGCACCACCCTCGTCCTCGCCAGAGTGCACGACCGCCCCTCCCCAGAGTCCGAGGATTTGCAAAGAGAAGGGGAAGAGGAGTGGGACCCCCGCCGCCCCGCCTGAGAGCTGGTTTTCTGGCGGCCGCGACCGAGAGTTTGAGGGGAGAGGTGCGCGCGCACCGCTGCAGCAGTCGTGGAAGGACTTGAATTGTCCAGAGCAAGGATGAATGAGATGTCAACGTGAGAGAAGGCTTTCCCTGCTTCCTGGCGGTCCTGAAAGGCGAAGGAGCCGGGGCGCTGAGGGTGACGTCCACCGCCCGGGGGCAGCGGTGTCGGGGAGTGGGGCGGCGGCGGGGGGCGGAGGGGGCGGCGGCGGGAGCCAACCGCGCGCAGCTGGGCGCCACCGGCAGGTGCGCAGCGCGCGTGCGCGCCCGGGCTGCCCGGGACTCCGCGGAGTGAAGAGGTGGCGGCGCGCGCGAGGCGGTGGATCCTGAGGCTCCCAGCCCGGCGGAGCGCAGAAGTCCCATCTCCTGGAAACTTACGGTGGTTTTATTCAGTGTTACTACTAAGAAGTCATTTCATCTTCTGTAACTAGACTCAGGGAGCTTAAATAGCCGGTTCTCTCTTCTCCTCTCAAAACTGACTTACTGTTGCCCCCACCTGGAAGATATTGAAAGCTTTTCACGCAGAATATAAGCTGTAGGCTTCCTCCGCCTTTTTTCTTCATTTCATTTTTTAAAAAATAATTTATTTTAGGATGTATAAATCTGGAAACTTTGTGCGTTGAAATTTCCAGGGAAGTGTTTGATAAGCAGTAATATTTCTCCCATACCTCCAGTCCAAGTACATTTCAAAGTTAGGAGCAGAAAATAAAGGCGTGTTGGTAATTGATTCAAGATTTTATACTGTGAAACAACTACTGACTTTCAGTAATCTGATAAAATAGAAAGTAGCTCCCAAAGACGAAACTGACAAGTCTTAACCGACAAGTCTTTCTTCCTTTGATTATAAATATATATCACACTTATCAGGAAAATATTAGTTTGAATTTAACTGTTTGGTATTGTTGGAAATCACTGAAATGTTCACATCAGTCACATTAGATGAAAAAGAATACATATCTACCTGATTTTGTAACTAAAAAGCTGAGTTGTGAGTGTATGTTGCAGGTGGATTAGATGCCTTTTTAAAGGAAAAAAAAAGCCTCACTGTTCCAAATGTATTTTATATGAAAACATTCTTTATTCCATCTTTTGAAATTTGGAATAGGACAGAGTTTTCATGTCTAAAATTCACAGAAGCTATTGAGAGTATGCTATTATTCCTCCTGTATTTATGCAAGCTGTCTGCATGATATCCTGTGATATCCTGACACTATTCTATTAACTGAACTTGAATGGAGCATTTGTATCTATCCTAGAGTGAAGTAATTTATTGATCATCAATAAGTGGTATGGCTGCAATTTAAGAACTGCAATATGGTGTGTTTTATGTCTGCACTGTCTTAATAAAAACAAGAAGCATTTATAGAAAAACCTGTTTTCATGCTCCGAGTTATTTGTATGGCACTTTTCTTGAAATACACATCCCCATCCAAATCCTAATTTCACATTTTGAATGGGGCTGAGAGAAATAACTCCCACATGGGAGGAATGTCCATTGCTAGGGTGGGCATTTTATGGAATTATCTCTAGGGTTTAACAGGACTCCTGAAGGCCAAGAGAGATCTGTTGTATTTTGAAGGGAGAAGCAGCTTACCCACCCACTAGTATAACATCCACTAAAACTAAACTCTGTTGTTAGATTTTGTTCTCAGTTTCTGCTAAATGTTTTCAGGGTCCTAATGGTTTAATGTTCCCAATACTAAGAGTCATATTTCAGAGACTAGTTTTGAGTTGTTTATACCTCCAACAAGTAACTTGTGTTACTTCTGTATTCATTTTTCTTTTACTTTTTGTTTACTTCCAGTGCTGACATTGTTTGTATTCACAACTGTTTAGTTGCACAAGTCTATCTGCACATGTATGTGTGGCATGTGTGCTAGTAGCAGAACTTGACTTTGTGGATGTAACAATGTGTACATATGTGCACACACATGTTTGTTATTTCACTCCCTCAAATTGCCAACCTGGAAGTCTGTCTAAAGTTACTTGGGGTCCAGCTTGCTTCTTAGAGAGTTTATTTATGTTCCTTGGAGGGAGGTACACCAATGACCTAAAGTGAATTATTCCTCATAAATGAGAAAGATATCTGAATTGCCTCAGTCACAGGCACATTTTGCTTCTTTCATAGGTTGCACATGTAAATTTCTTGTAATGAGAAATTTGAGTTAGACTACTTTAAAATAGATACAATTAGTAGTTCAGTACCTAAACTGGGTGAGGGGTTTTGTTTGTTTGTTTTTTGTTTTTCTTGGCTGACTTTGTATTACTGCTAATTTCTGACTTCCTTATCAGGAATTAAGTGACGGGATAGAGTAATGGAAAACTTTTGTTTGATTTCCAGTGGTTTTCAAGTGTCCCCCGTCTTGTGGATGTGCTTTTCATTCCTACATCATGTGGGAAGTCCTGGTACACCAGCGCCTTAGATAGACAAAACAGGAGTTTAAAAAGTAATTGTTGACATGGTCAGTGAGTTGTAGAGAGGGCTCGTGGTGACAGTGGAGGGCTTTTCTCCCTTCTCGTGGAAATTCTCATCTTCTTGTAAGAGCTTTACTCAATTCTGGACTCATCTCCAGCTCAGTGTTAACTGCCAATAAAGTCACTGTAAAAAGCCAGCCCTGGTCTGGTTTGCACACCTGCTCAAGAACTCAGGGTTTCCATAGCCCAGGTTCTGCTTAGGTTCTGGAGCTGAAGGTTAGAGTTATCATCGTGATTCTATAGAGTCTAAATTTCAAGTGAAAGAAACTCATCTTGCAGGCAATAAATTAAATACTCAGCCGCTGAATGCAATACGATTTGGCAAACGGTGTCCATATCTAGAAAGAACCTTGATGTGGGGTCTAAAGACTAGTAATGGCACCCAGGAGATGTGAATCAATATGAGCTCTCTCCTTTCTGGGAAAGACCTTGGCAATAATTTAACCTCTTTGAGCCTCAGACTCGTCGGCTACAAGATGGGAACACCAAGTATCAGCCCTGCTTTACTTTATGAGGTGAGTTCCAGGACTTGTACACACAAGAGGGCATATAAGTGAAAATGCTTTGGAAACTGAAGTCCTGTGTGGATCTATGGCCTTGTTTTCCTTCAGATTTCCAAGGGTCTAATATCACCTCCCAAGAGAGGTCTGCCCCGACCACTCTATTGCAAGGGACTATCTACCAGTTTTATTTTCTTCTTAGCATTTATTACTGTCTGCAGAGGTCTCATTTCATTGTTACATGCTTTATCTCAATCTCCCGCAAGCAGAATACAAAAAAAAAATGAGAGCAGAAACCTAATCTGGTCACAGACTTTACCCACAAAACCTTGGTCAGCCCTCAGCATATGGTAAGTGGCAGATAACTAGTCTGTTGAGTTGGCTGAATGGGAGTCCCTGGACTAGAATGTTAAGCAACTTGGCTCCCCTTGCTCATACTACCACTTAATAACTCCCAAGAGCCTGGGGGGCTTAGGTAAACAGTTGCTTTTCCTGACTTCATAAGGATTTTTGAAAGGTGAAAAAATATACCAGAAAACCACTTTGATTTTTGAGAAAAAATCAGTTCATCACAGTGAATATCTTCAGTGCATTATATTTAGTGACAGAAGGCACTGGAGAGACTGAAGGGCATCTGGCCTTGATTTCCATTCATTTTATGCATTTTGAGATTTTGAGGTACGACTCCTTTTGGCTTCCTTTCTTTACGAACATGACTATACAATCTCTTCCAAAGCTAGCAGCACCTGCTTTGGTGGGACACGTTTATATTGCAGTGAAATTTCCCACGACATTGAATTTAAATTTCTCATCATTTGTTGCTTTCCGTTTTAATTCTTCAGTCTTTGCCATTTTAAATAACTTACCCTTCATAGACTTGCTAAATTTATAATCTAAATAGCTGAGTAATCCCCCATTATTCTGTGATCCAGTTCATCCTCTTTAATCATTTATTTCCCGTTAGCTAATATTTTTGTGTTTTAAATTTCTGCTATGATACAAAGTTGATTAAATTCATATCTTAGGCAATGAACTGCATCCTGCTAAGCATGCATTTACATTTTTTCCCTTTGAAACAATGTGTTTTTATTGTATGCGTTACAGTGTAAGTTTGGGGGATATCTAATATTCACTCCAGGAACTATTTCTGTCTAATGAAATAAATGTTAAAAATGAGTGCAGCCAGATCTTAGTTTGAAGTCCTATGAGTGAAGAAAGTGTGAGAGAGATTTTATCTATCTTTTGCTAGATCTCTTTTGATTGTCCATTTAAGAAAAGCTTGGTATGGGGCACCTGGGTGGCTCAGTCGTTAAGGGTCTGCCTTCAGCTCAGGTCATGATCCCAGGGTCCTGGGATGGAGCCCCGCATCGGCGCCCTGCTCTGTGGGAAGCCTGCTTCTCCCTCTCCCACTTCTCCTGCTTGTGTCCCCTCTCTCGCTGGGTCTCTCTCTGTCAAATAAATAAATAAAATCTTTCTTTAAAAAAGGAAAAGAAAAGCTTGGTATGTATACCATAAGCATGTTTCTCTCCATCAATCAAACTTGGGGCTTCTGTTCTTTTATGCAAAACTAAAATGTGCAAGTTTTTCCTGTGATAAATTTACCACCATTCC